TGGGAGCAGAATGCCCATGACTTGATTTGGACATCAAACTGAGCCATCAACTGCATCACTCGGTTTTGGCTTCAGCCATAGAATGAACCCCACCCTGCTCTGTGGCTTAGCATTAATGAATCCATAACATTATGGTTTATTTAACAAACTGGGGTCAAAACAATGGGTGTGAACATAATCCATGAATATTTCAAATGCAAAGGGCTTGGGAGGATTGATTAAAGGATCTGGGCATGTTTAGGCTACAGAAGAGGCAACTGAAAGTAGATATAGCAACCATCTTCCAATATTTGAAGAGGACCCCACAGAAGAAAGAGTGGACTTATTTTCTCTTGCCCCAGCGGGCAGAACCAAAGCCAGTGGGGTAAAATTATAAGGAACTGGCATCAGTTCCCCTCCTCTTATACTCTAGTGCAGTGTTTCTCAACCATGGCAACTTTAAGATGCATGGACTTCAACTCCTAGAATTCCCCAGCCAACACAGCTGGCTGGAGAATTCTAGGAGTTGAAGTCCATAGATCTTAGAGTTGCCCAAGCTTGAGAAACAGTAGTTTACACCAACACCATTCTACCAACTACCTTATCACAACTGTTTACACATCTTAAACTTTCTCTATGTGTTTCCCTGTCTTTAGTTTAACTAGATGAATACTCTACCAAGGTTCAATATTCATCATAGTTAAAATTTTTAACTTTTTTTGCCAACCATGCAACCATTCACTTCATTTTCCCTGCCAAACACAACTACTTTGGTCTTATACATTAATTTTGAGATCGACATTCCTCATTGCAAGATATGTTCTTCATCTTAGCTGTATGTTGTCATGTTCTCAGCCACCAACACAGTGTGGTCTGCATAACATAGTACACATTCACATCCACAAGCGACATGTCATCACAAGCATTTCTTAAACTCACGCATTTATCCATAAGTCCATCAAACAATCAAAAGGATATCGCACGACCTTGTCGGATTCCCTGCTCAGGGTTGTACCATTCACTAAGCACTCCACTTGTTGTCACACACATTTACTTCCATTATATGCCACTCTTATCTCATTTAATGACCAACCTTCAATTAACATCAAGGTATGGTCAAAAAAGTCAAGATGGCAATGGAAGCTCTATTTTTTAGGGGTGTCACAATTTATACCACTTGTTGCACTCTTCAGTATACTGCTGCCATTTCCACACAAGTTACAATATGTTTTTTGTACGTAAGAGTCCTTGGGGTTCCCTGAGTTTGGTTGTTTTCTTGCAGACATTTCATTAACCAACTAGGTAATGTCTTCAGTGGTTTCTCTCATCTCCTTTCCCCCCATTCATTGATATCACCAGGTGGAATAATGTTTTCCCCTTGATCTCCTGTATTCAGAAGGTTACAGAATTCTTCCCCAAACTCCCCTCTGATTCTTCTATTACCACCATTCACCGGCGTGAAACATGCAGCTATCACCATCCATGGATTCCTACTTTCATATCCATCCACACCAGTTCAGATGACACCAATTCAGACCTACACTTTAGCCTTTTCATTCATAATTAAACTTCTGGCTTCAATCTCTGCTAGTATTCTCTAGCTCAAGATCAGCCCACCTCCATTCAGACCTATTACATCCTTCCCCTTTCTCTTAGCTTTGCAGATCCACAACCAATCTTTTTTCCTTCCTTCCTTCCTTCCTTCCTTCCTTCCTTCCTTCCTTCCTTCCTTCCTTCCTTCCTTATAATGCTTTTATTTCATTTTTAATCATTGTTAGCTGCCCATGTATTTGAGATGGACGGCCTATGAATTAAATAAATAAATTGATCAGTGCAATTTATCTAGCACCTCAACTTCGTGGACTCTAAGGCAGGTTTCAGGTGGTAATACAGCAGTAAAATAGAATTTCATTTTAAAACATCAGTTAATCTTTACCATTACATTCCAAATTGCTTTCTTCTACATGCCACAGCCATCACCAGATGGGCTCATAGATATTGCCCTCCAACACTTACTATGGCTTTGGACAGCGAAGGCTTTCACATAACACTTTTTAGTGAGATAGAGAAGGTAAAGACCATGTTGCCAATTTAAGTGGCACCTCTGTCACCTGCAGCTCTTCCGGCGAACAGGAGGGACTGCACTGGTCTATTCGGGCACCCTTTGGCCAGTGTGCCATGCGGGCAACCAAAGCTCAACTTTGCCCCAAATCTGCTCACGCTTTTCTGTGCAGCTTCAAACTTTATCTAGAGACCCCTTTGGCAGCCCACCTTCTGTGGTCACAGCTCACTTCCAGGAGACACATGCAGTCTCTTCTTTCCTCTTCTTTTTTCTAGATGCAGGACTATACCTTGCGCAAAGCCATGGCTTCAGATTTAAAGGGGGAGCTGAAAGTCAGTGAACCACCAGCGCCTACACTCAGCAGGAAAGAAGATACCTTCAAGTAAGCTGGGGAGTGTCAATTACAGCAGGGTTCCTCAACCTCAGCAACTTTAAGATGGGTGGACTGGGGAATTCTGGGAGTTGA